GCAGAATCAGAAAATAAGGTTTATTGTTAGGTTTTTACTTACAAGATATTTGCCTTGGTGTTAAATAATAAATATGGTCGGAGCGGTCCATCGGGATTGAGATAAGGATCGTTTTATATATAACAGGTAAAAATACAAGAATTTCATGCATTTGCCTACAATGGGAAAATGGTTGAAGCTGGTGGAATACAGTAAAAATGTCAAATATCACTACTTTTCTTCAAAATGAAATGCTGACATTACAGAATGCATGGTTTTATACTGTAATGGCAGTGAGATTTAAAAAATTGGTTTTAATGGAAGTCTATGAGGCATTTTTGGCCACGAAGGTGTCCAGAGGGAGTATCTCGCACTACATAAAAAATACTAATGTAATCAAATCAATGTTGTTGTTAATCTTTGACATATCCAAGACTCTAATCACCACCAAAGCCTCACCCCCCTACTGTTTATTATATGGAAAATAATAATTTTTGGGTTTTTTGTAATAAATAATTAATTCAAATAATTAAACTGGCATTTAAACGGTTAAAATCCTGAAAATGATTGAATGTTTGATAGTTTTGAGCAAGTTTGAAGTTGTTTATGTGATTTATGAAAAAAAGCAGAAAAAAATATTGATGTATGATGATTTAAAAGCAGTTTTTTGTGCGTGAACATTTTTGCCACGAAGGTGTCCAGAGGGTGCAGAATGCATCAATAGAGTATAAAAGACATGTAAGAGTAAAAGACATTGGATTTCAAAAATTTTACTAAAAAGAAAAGTTCTTGCAACAATTTATGCCACAAGCTGTAACACAGCCAAAATTATCATCAAATCAAAAAAAAAAAAAAGTTGAGAAAAATGTATAAAAATGCCCGAGGAGGGCATAAGGGTTAAACATGTTAAACTAAAACTCTGGACAGATCTGGCTAAATCTTACACATTGCTCCTTTAAGCCAAACTCGAGGCTTCAAAACGGCAGTTCACAAAGCAATAGGTGACGTCACGGCAGTTTGCCACTTGGGAGTAACAAGTGCAGAGAGCAGCAGACTCCCAAACTTCTCCATCAGGACCGGAGGGAGCCGGGCTGTGAGACAAACAGTTTTATGGACAGGTTTCATTTCAGCAGTCAAATTTTAGTTGCAGCACATGTCTGTGAAAGAGGCAGATAACACGGACCACTTGCGTTTAGTTCAACGGTAAAAAAAAAAAAAAAAAATGAGACCGGTTTTGTTTGTTTTGCTTCTTATTCGGACCGCGGAGCTCCGTCATGTCCACTCTGACCTGGAGACACAGCGAGCGGAGGATGCTGACACGGCGACTGCGGGAGCAGAGGACTCTCTCTCCCCTGAAAGGACTTCTGTTGACGGGACTTCTGAAAGTTGGGGAACTCTCGACCTGAAGCGAGTCCCCCGAGGAGCCAAAGACGGGAGTTCCAGGAAAAGAGACCCGCACTCTCCGAGCAGTTACGGTGGGCAACCGCGGCGATACGACGACCCGAGCGGTTACTTCACCACACAGCGGACTGACCGGTTCACCTCCGCCCCGGCGGGTAACTCTTCGTCGGGTCGGGGATCGGGGCTTCTCAACCCGCTTTTCCCAATCACCGACGGCGCCTACTGGGCATATGCAGTGATGCTGCTCGCCCTCGTGCTGTTTGCCGCGGGCATCGTGGGGAACCTCGCGCTTATGTGCATCGTGTGGCACAATTTCTACCTGAAGAGCGCGTGGAACTGCATCCTGGCGGGGCTGGCGTTTTGGGATTTCCTCGTGCTATTCTTCTGCCTTCCAGTGGTCGTCTTCCACGAGCTCACCTTGAAGAGGTTACTAGGAGACCTCTCCTGTCGGCTCGTGCCCTACCTGGAGGTGAGGGGAAGTAGAACGTAGGAATGAGGGAGAGGTGTTCACTTTACCTTTAACAGCACAGGTGAAAGGTCACGGATGGATTACTGAATAGAGCAACTGGGCACAGGTGTCAGGGGGAAGCACTGCCCCAAAAATGACTACAAAGAGACACCAAACTACCGCAAACAAACTGAAAACTACCACAATAAGACTCCAAACTACTACAAAATATTCAACCAGAAAAAGACTTGAAACAACTACAAAGAGCCTCAAAGTGACTGCACAGAGATGTGCAACAACTGTAAAGAGATGCTAAATAACCAAAAAGAGACTAGACAAAGACATGACACAAAATGACAACATCTACAATGAAATGTAAAATGACCAATAAGAGACTCAAAACGACCACAAACAGAAACAAAACACCTCAAAAAAAGAAAAAATGACCATAAACAGACTCGAAATCATTAGAGTAAGATCAACTATAAACCAAAACCAAATATAGTTAGTTCACACTGAAACAGAGAAAATCAGCAATCCTTACTCTGGGGAAGCTGCTACAAGAGAATGATGCTGATGTTTTTGATCGAAAAATTACGACTTATTAATTGATTAAAAGACAGATTTGCTATCAGGAATTGCCTTGAGAAATGTTTTTAATTGACTCGCTGTATAAATTAACCAAACCCTAAATGCTATAAAGTTTTTTTTTTAGTGTTCTGTATTTGTACCACAGCTCGGAAATCAAACCACCACAGTGAAGCAGGAAAATGTCAAACAAGTTAAACTGTTAAAACAAACAACTTATTGTGATGATAATTCATTTTAATTAGTCCCATTAAAAAAAAAAACAGCCTGGCTTCACACTCAGTGCTGTTTTTACACCCCCGTGTTAGACTCATTGTAAATGTTTTCCAGCTTAATGAAGGGACTTGTCTGCGATGAATGGCCTGATTGTGTCTTGTTGCTCCTCAGTTGTCTTCACTTTCAACAAATGTGCTGTTATGGTCTGTTTGGCCTCTTCACTCGTCTGTTATGAACCATCAGGGGAGGCCAGTGGTGGGGGGGGGTCCCGCATGAAGTGACTCTTCTTCCCCAGCTCACAGAGCCACACAGGGAAACACAGAGATGTTGAAGCAGCTGCTGAATTTGGAGACATGAAAGACAAACTGTGTTAAAGAGCTGGGGAGAGTTTATATCCCTCTTTTTAAACAGACATTAAACAGACATTTGTAGGTTATTTTGAAACCCAGTGTTTATTCTGCCTTTTAGTTTAATGATTAATTGATTTATCATTGGAACCCCAATTGCTAATTGCTTGTTTAATTCAAAACCCAAAAAAGATTGGCAGCAGTTTATAACATGAAACAAAGAAAACAAGCATATTATCACAATCAAGAAGCTGGAGCTGACAGTGAATTAATCAAAAAATTGATTAAATTGTTTCAGCTCTAATCATATCATAATATAATAAAAACAATGTCCGACAACTTATAAATAATAACTTTCATTATCAATTATTCAGCCGATTTTCTTGATTATTTGATTAATTATTCATTCTATAAAATAGTGAAAACGATCCATCCCAGTTTCTCCAAGTCTTCAGATGTTGAGTTTTGTCTGACCGACAGTAAAAACACAAAATATTCAGTTTACATGATATAAAGCAGAGAAAGAGCAGAGTAGCTGAAAACTATTAATTAATTAATTAATTATCAGAATACTCGCTGATTATTTTTCTGTCGATCAACTAATTGATTAATCGACTAATGGTTGCTCCTCTGAATATAATATTGACTCTGAACCTGCTGCCGCAGTGTAGAGCATTATGTTGATTAAAAGCTCAGCCAATCAGTATTTAAGCTTAGAGGGTAAATTACTGCTGCAGAGTAACAGGGTAGCGCTCTAACAGCCTGTTGATTAACACTGTTGGCTTCATCAGTCTCGTGTCTCTACATGGACACAGACTGTGGATCCTTGTCTTTCCTCTAAACCAGCTTCATACACCTCCACAGCTTTAAATCACTTAAGTGGACTTTAACTAAAACATAATAACAACTTGTATGAAGCAGCCTTTAACGAGGTCAGGTTGCCGCCCCCTTGCTCGGTGCTTTACCTATTGTTATGCTAATTAATGAATTAATTCCTTGCTAATTAATTAACATTTTTTTGAATGCTCCTGAGCAGTTTGTATTGAGCAGTGTTTAAAGCAGGTCAGGCTGCCAGCTGCCCCCGTGCTCTGTTAGTTAAACTATTTTCATGCTAATTAGAGCTTGTTGTTAATTATCTTGTGTTGTGTCTTAACTGTTTGAGGTCATTAAGCACTCACAGAGGGAGGACAAGTTTCTGTAAAGATAGTCCAAGTTTTTGGCCAAAACCCCAGACTTTGATGTGCGGGAGGCACCGATAAGTGTCCCCAGTGTGTAGACTGTAGAGCTGCTGCAGCACACCTGCTCTCCGTTCCCTCTCTGACTCTTTCCGTTTCCTTATTTCTTTCTTCTATAGATTAAAGCAAGGCTGTTTTTTTTTCAACCTGGCTCTTACTGCTGTTACAAAGCAGCATAAACCCTCAAACTTGTTCTTCGAGCAACAAAACATCGTCCGGTGCTCAGTTTAGACCGTCTGCATGAGCTCTCAGTCGAACAGGTCGCGTCTGACTGGGATCAGAGCAGCAGCATGAATCATTACAGGACAACCTGCAGGGTGAACCTGGAAGTAGCTCTGCAATACTAAAAAAAAAAAAGTCATTAGATAAAAATGCATTAGATATTTTGAATTATATTGTGCAGTTTAAAAGCAGAGCTCATCATCATTTGATTTTTTTATTCTAGTACAGGACCAGAGTTAAACTGCTGATACCAAACATTGACCCTTTTTAGTAGCGCTTTTCAATAAGACACTCTTTATAAAGTGTTTAAAGGGTGTCACTAATGGCTTTAGTAATAAATGGTCATTTATAAGCCTTTAATAAGAACAACATTTGGGTCAAGTGAGACTGGTTCTGGACTGGTTCTTATGATCTGATTTTCTGCAGGTGTACAAAAGAAACTTGTGCCATTAACCTTTGTTTCTCTGTCATTTTGTCTGTCAGGTGACGTCTCTGGGTGTGGCCACATTCAGTCTCTGTGCTCTGAGTATTGATCGTTTCCACGCAGCCACCGGCCCCGGGCCTCTTCAGACACCGAAGGTGGAGCCCTGCCAGTCTATCCTGTCCAAGCTGTCGGTCATCTGGTTGGGCTCCTTGGTGCTGGCCACCCCCGAACTGCTTCTGTGGCAGCTCCTCCAGGAAACTGTCAGCCTGCCGTCGCTACCCACTGAGCTGCAGCACAGCCAGTCGGGGGGCTCTCTGATGGCAGCGTTCAGAGCCCGGACAGACACGTTTAAGGTGGATATTTGTGTCCAGGAGCCATCGGTCGAGCTACCAGAGGGCATCTACTCTCTGGTGCTGACCTACCACGAGGCTCGCATGTGGTGGTTCTTTGGGTGCTACCTCTGTTTGCCACTGCTCTTCACTCTGGCATGTGACTTGGTGACGAGGCAAGTGTTAGCCCAGCGTCTACTGCAGAAACCTGAGGGTGACAAGATGACCGTCAGATGCGCCTCCTCCTCTTCATCTTCCTCCACCACAAAGAAAAAGCAGCATGTGAGAGAGTATAGGCTGCGCTCCACTGTGATGGCGCTCACCATCTTGTACATCACATGCAACCTGCCGGAGAGCATTTGCAACATCACCCTGGCGTACATCTCTGCCCCAGTGTCCGATGCGCTCCCGGCTCTGGCTCTGCCAGCGCTTGGCTTGATTGGACAGTTCTTGTTGTTCGTGCGATGCTCTGCAACGCCAGTGTTGCTGCTGTGCCTGTGTCGCTCCCTGGGCCAGGCCTTCATGGACTGCTGCTGCTGCTGCTGTGAAGAGTGTCTCCCTGACGGCAACTCTTCCTCATCCTCTTCTGTGTCAGCCGCAGCCACCTCCAGCCTTTCCTCACCCACGCTTTCCTCGCCCTCTCCATCCTCCCTGTCTCCATCCAGCAAAGAGGAGACGATGAAGAGTGTGTTGGCGCCAGAGCCAGTGGTCTATGACCGGGTGAAAGACTCTTCAGCAGCGATCGGGACGCCCTGCTGAGGCCCAGAACTGTCACACATGTAACTTTAAAAGGATCATTTAGGTTTATTACAACTTTGATCTTATTTTTATAGTTTTGTCCTTCATTTCCATCAGTGATAATAACTTTGTACTCCGCAAGTTAATGGCTGAGATCTGGGAACACTGTGGCATCACTAAGTCTGACGGGTGAAGGAAGATTAGCAGTCGGACAATCAGGCTGGAAACGAGCCAAAAGTTTATTCACATCACACTATATGGCCAAAAGTATGTGAACACCCATGTCTGGGTCTGTTTTTTTGGGTTGAGTTCCTTAGTTCCAATGAAGGGACGGCTTTATAGTGTGTTTCCAGCTCCGTGTCAACAGTTCGGGGAAACATCCTTCAGTGGCGCCATGAAGAAATGGTTTTCCCAGTTTGTTGTAGAAGGACTTGACTGGCCTCCACAGAGGACTGACCTCAACCCCATCTAATACATTAGGGATGAACTAAACACCGACTCTGAGCCAGACCTTATCACCCGACATCAGTGTTGGACTTTATTAATGCTGTTGTGGCTGAATGGGAACAAATCCCTGCAGCCAGGATCCAACATCTGGTGGAGAAAGCTGAAACCAGAAGTGGAGGCTGTTACAGTGTATCACACACAGTATATGGGGATATTACTCAGGTGTCCATATACTTTTTTACATACTTTTGTACACGTACTTCTGGCCATGTAGTGTATATAAACCACTTTATTTATTAGTGATAATACTACAAATACAGTAAGTACGGAAGGTCAAAATTAAAGCAGAAAGTGGGTTTGCGAGTGAACTTGTCTAATTGTCCGACTGCTTGTGTTTCTGGACTTCCCAGACCTCTTTTTACTGAAATGTTTCTTTTTTATTTCTCAGGTTTCTTTCCCCTGATCTTAATGAGATTACCTGATAAGTTACAGGTAGTATCGATTATTTTCTCTGATCTCAGCTGTGAAGTTACTGAGTACAATGTTCTTATAGAAATAGTGGACAAAACTACCAAAATAAACCCAAGATGTAATAAACTGGAATATTCTTTTAATCTCTGTATGAACTGACGGTGTAGAGCCACTCTAGGAGCAGAAACACGTCTGCCTAGAGTTAATTAGAGATAATTGTGTAAAATATAGAGTCTGTTCTCATAAAAAAAGGAGTTTAGATGGATTTAATCCTGATATTGAAGGACTCATAATAGTTTTGCAGTTTTGTTATGCTACATTTTCCGAGTTGTAGTTATTAATAATTATCTAATACTCATTCAGGATATTAGTATTACCTTCTCTAAGTACTGTATAGAGAGAAACACTGCATAATTTTAGGACGGTTTTATGGATAAACCGAAGATGAAGACATACTGAGATTTTTGTCGGCAGACTGACAGACTGCTGTTCATGACCTTTTCTTTTCTTTCATTTTTTTGCTGTTGCTGCACAGACATGGCTCATGTATGCCTGACTTACATGGTGTCTACAGAGAACGTGTCATGTAAGTAGCACGTCGCAGCTCTGGCCATGTGAAACACAAGCAGTTACATGGCCGAAATGTATCCTGTATAGACAGCAGGTTAAAAACGTTGTGAGATATCAATCAAAATTTTGAACCTACATGAAGCAATTCAGTGTGAAGTGTGACCTTTTCTACTTGTTTATACATTTGGTTTAGTAAAGTTTGGATTTTCCTCAAAGAGACTGTTTTTCAGTACCTGCGACTAATTCCCTCTCAATGTCTCATATACACTTTATTAACTGATACAAACATTAGAGCTGTTGATGGATGCTCTAACTGTGTTTACAGAGCCTTTTATTCCACTAACACCTGCAATGGAAACAGACTGAGTTACACCTTTCACAATATGTTCAGCAGATCAAACTTTTTTTATTAGTTATATATATTAGTTTATTTAGTTTATAAGTTTTAAGAGCAGCCGAATCCTAAATTTGGATCACTTCCTAAAAGTCTGGCGTTAATCTATATTTTCCTTATTGTCAACAAACCTGGTGGAAAAACCAAAACAAAGAAAGAACTCATCATATTAACAAGTATTGCCTGTGTGTCCAAAGCTTCTGTGCCATAGAGCTCCACTGTTGTCCACTGAAAAACTATTAAAAACACATCAATGAGCCGCACTGTTGCACTGGGTGACATGTTGTTTATCGTTTGTTGCCAGAAATACTCACCAGAGCAGCAGATGTGGATTAATCCGCCACTGAAAACAAGTGCTGTATTTGTACTGGTGTTTGAGTTAAAAAACTACTGAGCCCACAACTGCCCAGCTGTTTTAGTAAATTACAGAAAAATGAAACTGTATTTTTGTTTTGTTTTATAAGATTTATGTCTTCAGTTTGATCCGATGGGCTTGAGGCTGAGTGCCACAGACACATTAGAGAAGTCAGAGAGTAAAGAGAGGCAGGACTCACACCTTGGCTGTGATGTGCACATGGGATTTGTTGACAATGAGAAATATATAAAATAACCTGAGCCATATTCTTTATATTACCTCCTCCTAACAAATTACAGTGTCTATGGGCCTTCCATAAAAAAGTAAGAATTTCCCTAGAGTGCTTCTTGTTATATAAAAACATAATACATTTTTTTTACAAAAAGTAATGAATTTCCACATGCTGTCAGAATCCTCTAAAATGTATTTATATTTTGTCTTAAAATTTTAAATTGGAATTTTCTTAGTTAAGTTAAGTTTGATTTATGTCTGAAGAAATCTGGGTCAGATTTAGATTAAATGTTAAGCTGCCAAACAACAGTAGGAAAAAAGTCTGAGAGTAAAGTTTTAAAAAAAAAAAAAAAATCAAAAGAGAAATGTTCTTTTTTCCAAACAAAGAGGCCAAAACACAGAGAGGGAACAGGAAAAGTTTCCTGGTGGTAGAGAGTTGAATTTGGTCCTAAACAATCATTTTATTCAGTGAACGTCTGAACACCTTCAGAAGATCCTCATGTGGATTCATTTTATTTGGAAAGAGGCAGAGTTGGCTCATGTGTGCTCTGATCTCCGTCAGCAGGAATGCTACGCAGCGGTGCTCTCAACACCCACTGAAGGAGAAAGCTGTTCAAGTCGGACTGTGACGCTCCTTTTTGTCATCATTCAATTACTGAAGGTCACAGCTTCACAATAACAGTTGGCCTTTGAGTTTCTGCAGACATAATGAACACAGCCGCTCTGTGACCAGTTGCCGGGGAGAGCAGACAAGAATTCCTTGCTCACCAAAACATTTTCAGGCCTTTCTCAGCTTTTTTTTTCTTCTTTCTCTTTTTAACGTGTTGATCTAAAGAAAATGTCGTGCATTTCTTCTAACAAAAAATGTCTGTAACGCTGTGAATATGTTGTAATGTACAATCCTGTACATTTAGAGAAACCTACTACACAAGTACGTGAAGAATATAAAGCGTAGAGCATGCACATCCAAAAAAAAACAACAAAAAAAATAACACTTCTATTGTCAGTCAGTTGTTTTGTCAGTCTACTCTCAGACTGGACCGATAACACTGTCTGATTCTCCCATATAAGCGATAAAGAGCCACTCTCAGTCTGCAGACCACAACCACCTGAGTGATGAAAGAGTTCTGTGTCTGAACAGCTGAACAGAACATGTTTCAAACATATATAGATGAATTATAATAACGTAAAATATTTGGGGCTTCTTCAGATTCTTATCTTGAGACATAATAATGTGCCAAAGTTTTAGATCTCTACATCCATCCATCCATCTACATCCAGCTCCAGAATCAGAGGGAATAGATCAGGGTTTCAGTGAAGAGTCTCTTTTAGAAAACCACAAATATCGCCATATTTTCCTCCTTCCTTCCTTTTTGTCAGTCAGAAGGTAACTGTGCTACAGGAGCTGATGGGGACAACAACAGACAACAGGAATCTATATTACCTTCTTGTAATTTCAAATATGGTGAATTATTTTGTTAAATTTTAACATCAGTTTAGGAACAAGAAATTAATAGCAAAAACAGAATACAAACACGATGAGGAGGAGGTGAGTTGTGCAATCGTATAGGGCTGAAAGACATAAAGGTATTTAAAGAAGGGCAGCTAGGGGCTGATTGGCTGGAAGGCAGAAAGATCATTGGTCAAATATGGTGATGTCAAAATTGTGAATGCAGGGATTTCGACAGCGTGGGAAGTGGTGGAGGAAAAATAAAACAGCAGGTTATATCAGACATTCACCCACGGAGGAATAAAGCAGGAAATGAAAGACAGATCATCCTTATTGGACTTTTGCCAAAGCCTCGTTCCAGTTACCTGGTATGAGTCTAGATGCCGGGCCACAGCTGGCCCGAGTGCTGCTAACTGAATCTGATTCTCAGACCAAGCCCACGCCTCTAAACCTGAGTCAAACCAAGCAGCTCTATTGGGGACTAACCTGAAACTGACATAACTCTGTGCAGTACACTCAGAGAGATGAAACTGTCAAGGCTTACAAGAAGGTGAGCCACCTGTGTGTGATGATTTTAGCTGAATATTTTCTGCAAATTGAACTTTTATGATTTTCACTCTATAAAAAGTTCAAGTTCAGTCTTGGTGTCTGCTTTCCACATCTAAAGAAAACAGGTATTTCTGAGTGAATCAAGTGAGAACCACCAGAACAACGCTACACTGGATGGTGCATGGAGGCGGAGTTTCTACGAGCCTCACTTTTTAATGCTCATGTTAGACCCAAAAACATTTAATCACATCAAATCTTAGGAGGTGGAAGAAGACTGGGTGATCATGAAGAAGAAGTTTGAAGTACACAGACTACTTCTATTTGGGCTCTACTGTATGTACGTATAATGCATTTGTTTTGCTTGCGGACACCTGGAGACCCTTCACAGATGTCAGCGGCCCCTGAGTTACACTTTCAGGGCCGGTGCTGTAAGTGGAGTTTCAGTTCCTTTTGAGCTGAAATATTTGTCCTCCCACGTCGTTGTGCCTGGGCAAAAGGAAGGAGGAGGGGAAGCTTCAATAAGGCCTGCTTTGTTCCGCCGTCCCCCTCTCTGGCTCGGAGAGAGAGAGACACTTGAACAAAGCTGCATATCAATTGCCATCCACCAAGGGAGTTGCTAAGCTACACAACACCCACCACCTCCCACCAGCTGCCCCAGTCACTGAAGAGAGAGAAGAAAAGAGGGCTGAGATGCAGCGGAGGAGAAACTGCAGCGGTCCACCCTGATAAGCCAAAACCCAAACTCCTCTCTTCTTGGTTGCCTTGACAACCAGCTGAGACACAGCAGCATGGTGGCCTCAAGTTAGCAACATGGTCTAAAACCAACAAGGTCCCGGATTTGATCCTGACTGGGGCCTGTGCATGTTCCCGCTGTGTTCACGTGGGCTGCCTCAGGTGCTCCACCGGTCTCCACCCGAAAGATCCCAAGATCCCCAGCAGTAACGACAAACGCTCACGTGCACCAACTGTTCAAAACGAATCTGCCATTTTGTCCTATACTGACATTTTGCAGGTTCTTTTTTGTCCAGTTTGTCCACTTTGCTGCCGTGACACTGCAAATGTCCCCACTGTGGCTCTAATAAAGGACTATTTTATCTTGTCTTATGTTAATGTGATTACTTTTATTAGTTTCATCATAAAACAAAGTCAAGAGTTTATCATACAAATATAGTGCACTATATGTCTGCCTTTATATTTGAGAATGTGAATTTTGAAGAAATTAACTCTGTATATAGGAACAGGTTCGAGTGATAGAGTCACATGCATGTTCATTTCTTTTGTTAAGTATCCATGGATTATGATCCCGGTGCATATAAAAAAATGTGCTATACATCCAAGACAAAAAAATGTAAATACCATATTAGCACAAATGTAAGACGGTATTTTTGTACATTTGAAAAAAACGGGTTGAATTAAATTTAAGGACTGAACAGTAAATATTATGTATTAGTCATGTTATGGGTTGTTTGTAGCCTCATTGTTGAGATGCTGGCTAGTTTTTAAAGTCTGTCCACTGGTGTTTGGATCACCAGGTCAGAACAGGGTCTTATAGAGTAAAAACGTGTTTTACAACTAAAGAGAGGATTAATTCCTGATGAGTGAAAATGAATTGAAAGCATCATTACTCCACGTCTTTACTGCAGAAACAAACTGGAGACTGGATCAAGTGTCAGACAGAGGGGTGGGTTGATGTATGATATTAATGGAGGAACAAAATTTCAGGCCTTTTGAAAGAGGAATTTTAAAAGACTCTACCAGTGTTTTTTATGCATTCTTTATATTACTGCACATTTTACAAAAAGTGTTTCTATTAATTTTTTATTCATACTTTTATATATGAAAATCAAATTACAGAGACACATTAGTAACACTTTATAATATGGTTTGAAACATATCCTTATTTAATGCATCATCACAACTCATGAGGATGCATTAATTTAATGCATGGATGAATGAAATGATCGAGTCACTTTGAGTTTATATGATTCATTAACATTTAATGGATCATCCGTTAATGAATGTTAATTCACAGTTTCTTCATACGTTAGATTAAATGGCGCCAAATTAGCTGGGTCCTGCAGCGACCTGTAAACATGTCGTGTTGAGAAGAGGTCATGCTCCGCTTTCAGGGAGGCTGCTCAAAAGTAATGAAAACTCCCTTTTTATTTAATTTGATTTCAGCTAATTTTCACAGTATATAAATTAAGATATGAAGCAGCTGTGAATTATAATCATTTACTGATGATTGGGTACTAACGTATCACATAACACCCACTGTGGCTTGATCATTTTTTACTTGAACGTGTGTTTTAAAATCTTATAATGTTTTCAGATCCTTATTATGACGTGATATTGACTTTTTACCACTTTTGTCAAAGTTAGCTTAGCGTGGAAATGAATTTACATCATTCTGCAGTGGATCATCTCAGTGAAATATACCGTCTGGGCTAAAGCATCTAAAATACTGGCACTGATCTCTAAACAACAGCTTATCACAGTAAAATACAGTTTTTGAGTGATGTACAGTACGTGTCATTTTGGCGTTCATGTATTCGGGCCTTACAGTATTGATGCTCTGTGTGCTGTGACAGTTGTTTTATGACGCTCGTCTCGCTCTGTGTCCAGTCTCAGCGGGCTCAGGAAACACACAGCACAATATCTGTTTCCAGCAACCATTACCAAGACGACAGCTCAGTGCTAATCAGAAATGCTAACGGAGTCCTGACCACAAATGAAACGCTCTGTTGACTTGATGCAGAGCCAGCACGAGGCATCACATGACTGACTGGTTGCTTAGGACCCCTGAGACACCAGGGGCCTCCTGCTCAGTTTGTGTCAATAGTAGAGGTATTAAAGGTATACCTCCTGATTTTTATTGTGTCCTTTATTAATGCGCACAAAATATCTTCTCAGCTTCTGATATTTTGGGATTTGGTGCCAGTTCTAGTAGTTCTCTATCTGGTTTTGGATCTGGTTCCAAATTGGCTAAATATCCAGATTTATTAAATCTAATGAATGTCTTATCGAATACTTGATGTTTTCAGCCATGTCTTACTTTCCTCAGGCCCAGACAAATTCTCAGGAACTTTGCAGACCTGACATTCACACCAGATCGTTACCTGCCAACACACCTGCCCCTCATTTTCCCCAATCAACAGACCAGTGCATATGCTGTACCCTCCTCAGGTGCCAGCTTGTCAGAGGTTGCTACTTGTC